TATGGCATTGGACAAAATTCTCTCGACCTTCTTAGATCATACTTTGAGAATAGGCTCAATAGAGTGAAAATAAAAGGAGTGACAAGTGACTGGAAAAGGATGGTGATTGGCTGCCCGCAAGGCTCGTCCTTTGGGAAGAAGCATGACGTTGTTGCGCAAAGTATCAAGATACATGGAGAGAAAGCTCTATCCTGGTACAAGAACAACTATCTCTCGACCAACCCAGAAAAGTTCCAACTGTTAATGATCAACCCGAGATATGTTGACAAAGACAACGATAATCAAAATTTTTCTGTTGACGGTCATACTATTAAGAGAATGGGGGAAATACCGCGTTTAGGAGTTCAAATCGATGAAAAATTGAGTTTTACTAGTCATATCAGTGATCTGTGCTCTAGGGCCAGTCAAAAAGTAGGGGGGACTAGTGCGGCTACGCAATTTGATACTCTTTAATGCTAAACTATCACTTTACAGGTCTTCAATTCTGCTCCATCTAACCTACTGTCATCTAGTAGGGCACTTTTGTAATGCATCGGATCGGAAAAAGCTTGAGCGGATTCAGGAGCGAGCACTTAGGGCGGTGTACAAAACTAGATCAGCGCCCTAACAACACAAATTGGTCCTAAAACATATCCAAAAAAGAAGTTGTGTTATCAGGTGTCCCACAGGGATCAGTCCAAGACCCTTGCTATTCCCCATTTATATAAATGCTATATCTAACAGCTCTGATAAATTGAAGTTCTACTTATTTTCTGATGAAACCAATTTGTTCTTTCCTAGTAAAAAATTCAAATTGCTTCAATCTATAGTTAATGCAGAAAATTAATTTTTAGGGTTTATAACTAGCTCATTGCAAATAAATTATCATTTATAAATAAAGAAATCTAACTTTGTCATTTTTAGACAGGATAAAAAAGTTAAATCACTAAGTCAACTTGAAAGTACATGACCATCATAACAACTCATACATTTCTTTAGAATCCAAAAATTATGTCACATATCTTGGTGTCGCAGCTTACTGATGAAAATCTTTCATGGAAATACCATATTGTCCACATCGCTTCAAAGACAAGTAAAACAATTGGCATTATTGCCAGGCTAGGACACTTTGTACCCCTGAATACTTTCCCTTACACCACATATACATATCTCTTATTCAGCCCTTAAAGTGCCCCTGAGATCAAAATTTTCTTAAATCAATTTTTTCCATTTTCATGTTCAGTGTGTCTCCTTCAACTACTCTGTCAAATTTCAGTCTAGAGCGAGCACCATAAATATCTTTTTTCGGGCCGTTAAATTCACGATTTTGCGTCTGCCATTATTTGATCGTGTTCCGGAAGTTGATCTCAGGACTCAGAGGAAGTGACGTCAAAGGCTCAACGCAAAAATATCACATGGCAAAATGTCAAGCAAACATAAAAGAGTACTTTACTCTATTCTTTCAAAAACTAAACAAAAATGACTGGGCATTGATGCGTAATTCAAAGGTGAAGTAATCGTGTAGAGCATGTTGCAGGTATTTCTCTACATCAGAGCCTTGCAAATAGATCAGAGCGGGAAAAACAGATGCGATTTGTGCAACCTCACCGAGTAAACTTCAATCCTACAGAAACATTTGTGATCTACTCCGAACACTTCTCGGAAGACTGTTTCCAGAGCTGTGTACTTTGAAGGATCTAGGCGAAGAATTCTTTTGGGTTCAGTGCCTATCATTCACGAAGAGAAGGGACAAGGAAAACCATCCTCAGTGCGATCTCGATGTCGGAAAGCGAAGTCGACAAACCTCCACGGATTTTGTCACCTTTACATTTGAGCTGATCAATATCCACCTTTAACAACTCTCTGAGAGAATACCTTACTCAAAGGAAAGTACTCAGTGAACATTGTAAATAAGAATGATAAAATAGCCGAATTGAGGATTGAGATTTCTGACCTCAAAGAGCTCACTTTTATATAAAAGAGATGAAAAATATAATTGTGTACTCTGATTCTAAAAAAAGGTGGCTTTAATATCAGCGAAAGCAGAGCAAACAGCTTAAGTCACAGAGCGTAAAAACACTTTGAAATGTAGGCTTGCAACCAAGAAAATGAGAAAATGAAAATTTCTTTAAAAACCTGTCAAACTATCAACCATCTGACAGCCAAATCAGCGTGCTATCAAAGGGTCTCAAATTCATCCCAACGCCCGTGACAAACGAATTTAAAATCAGGCCAACTTTTGCGAAATTTATTCGCAAGACGAATGTGCCTCCGTTACACCTTTCACCGACAAAACAAAGAACCACTTCTGTTTCATATCAAACTGAATGCCACCAGTTCAGTCTTCTATCACCCTTCAGCACTTCTTAGAAATTTGTCATAACGCTACTTGCAGACTGCATCTGAGCAAAAAAATACTTTGTAACGCATTGAGGTCACGGCTCTAAAATAGTTAAAACAAACTGTTTTAAACCTCACGGAAGCAACACAACAATAGTCATCATGAATAAGACAAAAAAAAACAAAAGAGGTCAAAGTGCAACTCAACAACAGAGTTCACTTCAAATTTCTCAAAGCACCGATAATAAAAGTCATTGACCAAATGCATCGGGGAAAACACTTTGATGGCTTAGAAATGGCTTTCTCAAACTCCCAATATCCGCATTCGGATAAACAATTAACCATTGCCAAAAACTATTTTTACTAATCACCCGATCATTTCTTACAAAAAAGGAAAATCCCTTATGACAAGCAAAAATACAGTTTGGAGGCGATAAAGTGATGCGACCTACAAAAGCCACACGGGGAGTTCATGCCGTTCTGTGTTTATCTTTATTCGCATAGCAAAAATTAATCATTTGTCGGCGCAAAACTATCCACAGAAACTTCTGATCATTTCTGGGACAATTCATCGTCTGAAAAAGTCGAAAAATTCCTACTGACAACGAAACAGTTCTCAAAAAAGTAATATGTGTGATTCTCTGTGCAGCGAGCGAAGAGAGTTGTGACAAAGCAAAGCATAAGTTNGGAGTTCAAATCGATGAAAAATTGAGTTTTACTAGTCATATCAGTGATCTGTGCTCTAGGGCCAGTCAAAAAGTAGGGGGGACTAGTGCGGCTACGCAATTTGATACTCTTTAATGCTAAACTATCACTTTACAGGTCTTCAATTCTGCTCCATCTAACCTACTGTCATCTAGTAGGGCACTTTTGTAATGCATCGGATCGGAAAAAGCTTGAGCGGATTCAGGAGCGAGCACTTAGGGCGGTGTACAAAACTAGATCAGCGCCCTATCAAGAACTGCTAAGTCGCGCCAAACTACCGACGTTGAACAATCGGCGCCTACAAGACATTGCCACTTTGATGTTTAAAGTTAAGCACAGTCTCGTACCCAAGAATATTTCTGAGTTATTTAATAAAAAGAACACTCAGTATAAAATACGGAACAGGGACTTCGAACTGCCAAGATTCGAAACTGTAAGATTTGGTAGGAATTCTATAAAATATATGGGACCTCTCATCTGGTCGAAGTTACCAAGACACCTAAGAACCATAGAAACTCTAAATTCGTTCAAGAGGAACATAGGAAAAGTCGACCTTTCAACTCTCGTTGAAATTTCAAACTTAACTAAATAACTTTATAATCTTTTTAATTATCTACTGTAAATAACTATTATCTACATGTGTAAATGTATTTGACTTTTAAATTTTTAGTGTCCCCCATTAGCTTATAGCTAAAAACATAGACACTTAATCAAAGTTTTTCATTCATTCATTCATTCATTCATTCAAGTATCAAATCTTGAACTCGTTGAGTGCGACAACGATGTAGAAGGAGAATTTAGGTGATGATATATATGATGCCTGTACTTTCAATTGACATTCAGGATGAGAGGATTGGGAAAGAAAAGATGACAAACTGGGAGCAGAAACGATTGTTGGAAGAGTACTGTTTTCTTTTATTCCGATTGAGTGAAATACAATACAACTTAATTGGCCCAATTTCAAACATAAAACGTAAAAAGAAGGATTGTTTCTGTTTCTCTTGTATAAGACAGAATGGAATTAACCAATTGTTGAAAAGTTCTGATTTTGTGTTTGATCAAAGTTTGATAGGGATTACAAACATGATCGTAATATAGCCTTATAGAATCATCTCAAAATATATTTAGAGATAAAACTAGCACAGTTATTGGATGAGTTCTTAGCCTAAACACGTGTCGTCACTCAATTGGCGAGGCTGAATATCAGTTTATGGTTAACAATTTATGATATGCGCCTGATATCTTTGAACATGAAGCAGGAGGACTGGGTCGAGGTTATGAAGTCGAGGCTGACTGCTTCAAATTCCAGGGAAATCCCTTGCTAGAGAGAAAGATGAAAAAGAGCTTCTGACTTTTTCAGACTGTGACCTGCTTTGATTACCTATAATTTTTCTTTGTAAAAGTTTTTTACCACATGTATTTTTCAGTCGGGCGAGATATTTGGTCGGTATTTTGACATTAAATTTTTTTCTGTAGAGGTTACTAGACTTACCAGGGGGTTTCAATGGAGTTAACTGATACCCTTAAAACGGCCAAAACATATANGACGGTATTTCCTTAAAGAAAATGTGAGGTGAATCTACAGCTAAAGACAAAAAAAATTCAGCCGATTTTCACAGTAAACAAAATCCGAGGCAGCCTTTTTGCATATGACCTTAATGCTTTGTGCTTATTCCTCGCGTGGACATTCTCGCGGTTTACACACACGCGTCGTGGATAAAGCATACTTTCTAATGCAATGCCATAAAAGGTTAATTATTATATCACTCGCAAACAAAGTAAACGCTACTTAGATAACATCGTTGTAAAGTTTTACGGTGGCCAAACTTTTAACGTGTTACAGTTTAAAATCTCTCACTAAAGGTAATAGATGCAGCATATAAAGTCTTGTATAAACACTGACATTAACAAATAAAAGCTACTGCACATTTACCCTACGCGGGTTCAAAGTCAATGGTGGTTCCTTATTCTTAACGTTAACGCTTCCTATCCTCTTTATCAGAGTAAATTGTCGGAGATGGATGACATTCTTGTGCAGCATTCAGAGCAGCATCACCATCAGCACTAATCTCATTCCTATACAAATACAACTTTCTCAGTTTTGTTAAATTTTTTAGATATAACATTTTCAGGGTTGAATTTTCTTTTACACATTCAGCCAGAGCAGCAGCAGCAGCTTCACTAATGTTATTTTCATCCAAATTCAACGTTCTCAGAGATTTCTTTTCTTTGAAATACTCAGCCAGAGCAGCAGCACCGTCATCACCAATTTCATTAGAACTCAAATGCAAACTTGTCAGAGATGTATTCTCTTTCAAACGCTTAGCTAGAGCAGCAGCACCAGCTTCACCAATGTCATTTTCATCCAAGTCTAACATTTCCAGAGATTTATTTTCTTTCAAACACTCAGCCAGAGAACCAGCACCAGCATCACCAATTTTATTAGAACTCAAACGCAAATATGTCAGAGATGTATTCTGTTTCAAACAATCAGCCAGAGCAGCGGCACCGTCATCACCAATTTTAAGAAAACTCAACCTCAAATATGTCAGAGATGTATTCTCTTTCAAACACTCAGCCAGAGAAGCAGCACCGTCATCACCAATTTTATTAAAACTCAACCTCAAATATGTCAGAGATGTATTCTCTTTCAAACACTCAGCTAGAGCAGCAGCACCGTCATCACCAATTTCATTAGTAGACAAATTCAAATTTGTCAGAGATGTTTTCTCTTTCAAACACTCAGCCAGAGCAGCAGCACCGTCATCACCAATTTCATTGAAAGACAAATTCAAATTTGTCAGAGATGTTTTCTCTTTCAAACACTCAGCTAGAGCAGCAGCACCGTCATCACCAATTTTATTGAAAGACAAATTCAAATTTGTCAGAGATGTTTTCTCTTTCAAACACTCAGCCAGAGCAGCGGCACCGTCATCACAAATTTCATTACAAAGCAAATACAAACTTGTCATACTTGTATTTGTTCTAAGAATGTTGGTTAGTAAGATAGTCTTAGCCACACTTAATGTGCTATAAACAGCAATGGTTTCAATTTGGAGACAAGGGCCAAGAGTGCGGGCCAATTTTACATCGAAATAATTTTCATTTTTGCATTCATAAATGCACTGA